GCTGAGTTTCTAAGGAAAGCAGAGTGTGTATGTTGGGGGGGGGGGCAGGGGGAATGAGGGGAAAGGGAAAGGGTCCTGAGCGGACAAGCTGCCCAGCCTCAAGCCTCCAGAAACCTGGGTGCTGAGGGACAGGCTCTGGGTGCATTTCCCCCTATTCCCTGTGAGCCCAGGAGACAGGCGGGGGCGGAGGGGGGGGGGGCGGGCAGCAGGGCATAGCAGAGCCCAGCCTAGCTCCCTCCCCCTCCCCCCTTCTTCCCTCCCTCTCCCTCTCCCCCTCCCTCCCTCTCATCAGAGCCATGCTTCTCCCTGCTGCTCCTCCACTGTGTGGAGTCCTGGAGTCCTCGCCACTGGGCACCCTGCAGGACGGCCAAAGGGGGGCCTGTGTCCTGGGGCTCGGGTGGGGGACCTGCCCTCCATGTCCTGTCTGGGCCTCTCTGCATCTCTGAGGCGCTCTGGAGCCAGACTTGGGGCCTGACCTGGCCCGCGGGCGGCTCTGCCATCTGCCCACAGGGGCCCGAGTGCATCCTTCTCTGCTCTGAGCTGGCGACCCCATGAGCGACACACGCCACCTGTGCCAGGCCGGAGGGGGTTGAGGGCACGGGCTCCACAGTGGGGGGGGGGGGCTGGGTTCCACCCCGAGCAACGCACAGTCCCCCAACACCCCGAAGAACTCCCGAGCACTGAGCTTGGGTGACCTCTGAGCACTGCTGAGTGTGTTTTAAATAAGCAAGTATTACAAATTTGAGAAGACGCTGCCAACGGTCACGGGATCAGTGGGGGCCACTTTTAGCTCATCTCCCCAGCGCGCGTGCTGACCTCCTGTCCCTGCAGAGACTGCTGGGGACATTCCTCCCACCTGAGGCCCTGCCAGTAGAGGGGCTGTACAGGTCTGGGCTCCTCTCAGCCCTCAGAGGAGGAGGGGGGAGGGGAGGGGAAAGAGGGAGGGGGAGGGGAGGGGAAAAGGGAGGGGGAGGGGGGGCACAGCATCCCGGAAGTCTTCCTGTTCCTTTCCACTGGTGCCCAGTGTGGGAGGGACTTTCTAAGTGAACGTTGCCTTTGGGGTTCAGTCGTCCCCCCAGGAAAGCACGGGGTTTGATGGTGGTTGTGTCTAGACATCCCCCCACTAACTGACTGAGCCTGCCCTGCCCACCTGTGCGCTTGGCAATCCCAAGCTGACTGGACCACGGCCTCACGCTGAGCCTGCGGGGGAGGCCTGGGAGGAGGGGGCGTGGCTGCATCTCCCGCTGACTGTCCCTGACTGTCCCTCTGAGGTGAGGGGAAGTGCTGCCCCCCGCCCCCCCCACCCAGCCAAAGAGGGAGGCCATGTGGCTCAGTAGGTGGGCCGGTGGGGGGAGGGGGAGCCAACCCGTGGATTCGGGGTTTCTAAGACCGAGATGGACAATCCTACCAAGAGACTAGGGTGTCCTGGGGCACAGGGGACCTCGCGGTCAGAGAGGTTGGACAGGGCCCTACCCTGAGCGTCCGTCAGCGGCCGCTGCTGTTCACCAGGCCATGAAACTCCTCCCAGGCCCTGGCAGACCAGAGACAGAAAAACCACATTCAGATGACGGCTCTAATGGCAGCCACGGCCTCCGGCCGCACCAGCCCCACGACAGCCCCCCACGCGCCAGTCACCGCCCCTCCCCCAGCTCTGCTCAAGCCCTGACAGAAACACCCCAAAGAGCCGGGGCGAAGGACAGCGGCACGTTCCACCCCAGGGTTGCAGGGGCAGGGGCCGAGTTGTCAGCAGGCCTCGCCTGGGGTCCGGCACCCCCATGCCCAATGCCTGCCCCTACTCCCAACTGCGGCCCTGAACGCAGACATTTAAGCTGGCGGGCGACAGGCGCTCCCCTCGGGAACCTGGCCTTGACCCTTAAGTCCCGCACAGCCAGGCCAAAGTGGGGGACAGCAGGAGACAGAGAGCCCCAAAGCAAACCCAAACCAATGGGAGTCAGAGTTCCCGGTGGGCTGGGGGCCGCCCTCCCGGCCACAACCCCCTCTCACTCAGGCCCTGAGTCTGGTCAAAATGCTAGAAAATTCCTCCTCGTCCAGGACTGTCTTCTGGGTCTGAGGAGTAGCGTGTGTGTGTGACTATGTGTGTGCGTGTGCGTGCACGTGCGTGTGTGTGATGTTAAGGCCCCAGATGGGCTTCGCCGAGTGTTCCTCTTCCCAGTGGGGGCCCAGATGCACGAGGCGTCTGTCGGGAGCAGCAGCGACTCGACACTGTCCTCTCCTGCAGACAGGAACCTGCCCTGCTCTGCACGGGTTCTTCGGGTCATCCCGGGCTCCGGACACACGCTGACTCGGCCCCACCGGCAAGGCAACCGAGCTTCCCCGGCCTTGCCAGGAGGCGCCTCTGTGCACAGCTCGGCCAGGCCAGGGGCTACCAGGACTTTTTTTTTTTCCCCACCCCAATTGCAAAGCAGAAGTTCAGGCTCGGGCAAAGGCCCGGGAAGACACTCCCTGTTCTGCCTGTGAGGTTTTTATTTCACTTTTTGGTGTGTGCTGGTGTCAGAGGCTGAACTGCAGGACTCGCCAACAGACGGGCAGGTGCTCGAGCCCTGCCCCGGCCCTTACTTCCTCTCTAAGCACCTCGGGAGTCTGTAACAAGCAACAGGTGCTGCCTCACCTCATCCTCCTGCTGCCAGAAAGACCGGCCGTGACCTGGCCCTGCGCTCCCTCTGCATCTCACAGGTTCAACTCCCTCTTACCTTCTTCCTATGTATTTTTTCCCCATGCTCAACACCCGCATGAAGATTTCAGGCAAAGGAATGTCCCGATCGGGACTCGGTGGGAATGAAACAGTGGCCCAGAGTCACTGCACAATTGCTCTTCACCGTGCCAGGGCACCCCTGGGGAGAGGTCTCCGGCTCAAGCTCAAGCGAGAAGCTCCTTCCTGCCCCGCATGTCGGCACCCCCCCCTCGTCCCCCGCTCAATTCTAGACATTCCTTTTTTTCGTTGTTCGTTTGTGCCACACCCAGCCATGCTCATGGCCTATGCCTGGCCCTGTGTCCAGGGATCGATCACCCAGGTGGGCTGAGGGGTGGGATGGGGTGTGAGGGGAGGCACGACCGACCGTATAGGGTGCCAGGAACTGAACCCAGGCCAGCTGCATGCAACGTAAGCACCTCCCCGCTGCACTGTCGCTCCGGCCCCCAAAACGTTCTTTTAAGGTAAAGGACACGTTCAATGTTAAGTGCAGAAGCCTAAAGTTTCTAATTAAAGAAAAAAAATAAAAAACGCTTTCCCCTGAAGTTGATAAACCCCTATTTCACCACATAATAATCCCAGGGTTGGTTTTTTGGGATGCTCTCGTGCCCGGGCCACAGGTGGTACTTGGAGCTTAGTCCTGTAGCTGTGCTCAAGGGTCCCCCTGGTGGGGCTCAGGGTGTTCTCAGGGTAGGCCGCATGCAAACAGAACAGCCCCTCAACGCAAACTTAACGTCAGTTTCCTTTCATGCAAAAAAAGTGGGGTGCAGCCACTGTTTATAAGCCTGTGCCCCTATTACCGCAGGGTTCCCAGTGCGGCCCTTCTACTGTGTAACAGGACGGTGGCTGCAGAGATGCGGATCCAGCAGGACACTCGGGATTTCAATGACAGGGCGGCCCGGAGCCACACACTCGCCAGAAGGCCCCGCCGAGATCCGCCTGCTTCGCCCCGCCCTGCCTGAGTACTCCTGAGGCGCCCACAACCTTAGCTTCTCCCAAGGGGAGGGGGGTCTGCTCAGTGCCCCTCCCGGCCAGTGCCTCAGGGCACTGGGGCACACCTGTGCCCACTTCCTCCCAGTGCTCCCGAGTCCCGGTTTAGACTTTTCTCAAAGCTCCAGTCTATGCCGGGCGCGTACTGAGGGGTCTCAGCAGGCCTGTGGAGGGGCGACTCTCCCGGCCAACCCTGTCTGTGGGGCCTCTTTGCCCAGTGGGCACACACCAGCAGGGGTGCAGCAAATGCTCCCCACAGCCCCCTGGGCAGAGGCCTTCGCCCAGCTCGTGTGCAATGGGAAACGGACAAGACGGTGTGACGGGGGAAGAAGGGCAGGTCCCTGGCGGCCCTGGTGGACCCTGCTGGGCAGACGCCCGATGCCTTCAGTTCTGAATCCCTGTGGCTGCCGTTCCCTGGCCTGAAGCCAAGCCCCAGGAGCAGCGGAGGGCGTGTGCAGTCCCAGCTCACTGGGCCGCTGGGCAGCGGAGCCTCAGGCCCACCAAAAGGGAAAGGGCTGCAGACGGACACGGGCGCCTCCGCACCCCACGACTCTTCTGCCTGCCACGGATCCTGCACGAGCCCGGGCGATGCTGAGGGTCTGGGGAAAGCTGAAGGCTCAGGAGGCGGCGGCCACGGTCCATGCGGGGTGGGGCCCGAAGGCCAAGCTGCAGCCAAGCCACAGAGCACACGGGAGATGGGTCTGCTCGGGCCTGCGACCCCCCACCCACCACCCCGGCCGAGCCGGACGCGCTCACCCTGGGGACGGACAGAGAGGGAGGCGCCGTGAACTCCAAGAGGATGCCGACCTGGCACTAAGGGCAAGCGCAGGGAGAAGGCCGCCAAGAGCGCGTGGCCGGGGAGCGGGGCGCAGCGAGGAGCCGTTACCACAAGCAAGGAAGCGCCCGACACACAGCCACACACGGACGGACAGACGGACGAAAGCAGGGCTCCACCCGCAAGCAAGAGACATCTCTGAAGGAGAAGGCGGACGACGTGAGCAAAGCCAAGGCCGAGGAGGGGCCCCGTCCGCCCTGAACGCTGCCGAGCTCCACTCCAAGTCGGAAACCGCTACTCTGGTCACCAGCGCGACCCGATGGGGACGGAAACTCAAGCGCCGGGACGCGGGTCTGCCAGGGTGGATGTCCTCTCTGCGTCAAGCCTCAGCAGAGCCGGGGCAAAATAGCGGGTGACACCAGACAGCGGTCTGGCGGCAATCAATCCCCGGGGCCGTCCCTTCACGGTGGCAGTCTCAAGGCCAAGTCTTTGATGCGCCATAAAGAGCAAGAGCGTGAGACAAGCTAGTTTAGCACCATTTATTACGTGAGCTCAGCTGTTGTTGTAGCTGCTGCGGGTCAGCCTGGCAGCCTGAAAACAGAAAATGCTCCTCCAGCGGCTCTGGTCCGGGACAGGAGGGTCTTCCGGGTACACGCCAACGCAACAAGAGATCCGATGCGGCCGGCTTCAGTGACGGTGCCATCCAGGGGGCTCAGGGCACATTCAACCGCGGCTTCCAGAGGTTTTGAAAAAGGAGCCTTTGGGGGCCCAGCCTGCCTGGCATTCTAGGGGGTGCAAAAGGTTGGCACGTGTTGGGAGAGGAAAGAGGGGGACGCGAGGGAAGGTCGCGTCTGGGCTGAAGAAGGCTTTCCGGTGCGGGAGCTGCGGGGTGGTCAGCGGCTCTGGCTCGTGAGACCCGTGCGGAGGGGCAAGGCGGGAACTACCTGTCCCTGGGGCCTCTGGGGGGTGAGACGGGGGCCCCTATGGGAGCCTTAAAACAAGAGTCCTGGACAAAGCGGTCTGGCTCTCTGCAGTCTGGACCAAGGCCGGCTGGAGGGCAGAGACTGTCTACCCCAGAACAGAGAACACAAAAAGCGTCTAGAGGCCACCGGGCGCTGCAGGTCTGCTGGGGCTGGCAGTCGCGCCAGCCGGCCAGCCACCGGGCTCCCAGGCAGACTGGCACGCGGCAAGTTCATGCCACTCTGCAGACACCGGGAGCGAGTCCCTACCGTCTGCTCTGAAGTAAGAGCACTGTGAGGATGAGTCCGGCACCGTCAGGCCAGAGCGCAACCCTATCGGGCCCCGCAAGAGCGCCCGCACCTGTGGACACTCAGAGATCGAGCAGCCCCTCTGCGTCCGGCTCGGCAGCTGGGGAACCGAGCAGCGGGGAACACACAGCGATGCTGCCCTCTTGGCCAGTGCTGTCTGCAGGCGGGAGAGGCGAACAGCTCCGGGAGAACCGAGAGTGACCGCTAGGGACAGCGCGGCCGCTTGCCTACTCTTGCGAGCACTCTGGCCGCCACCCCCTTCCTGCTCGGGCTCACGCACAAGGAACGGAGCCAGCGCTCCTGAAGAAGAACCTTTCCAGGATGAAGAGACAGACTGAGCTCCCAGGGGGAAGGACATGCAGAAGGGGGGGGCGGGCGGGGAGGAGGGCTTTATTATGTGGTGAAATTCTCTGAAAAACAGCAAGCACGCTTGGGCCCTCGCCGGAGCCCGGGTTAGCGAGCGAGAGACGAGACAGCCCGTGGAGACAGAGCGAGGCCAGGCAGTGCGGCCGGGTGCTGGCGGGAGGGCTCCTCGGACCCGGAGCGGCCCCGGGGCGCGGGCGGCACGGCTAGAGGGCTGCTCTGTCCCTGCCCCACGCCGGACTCCACTGCGCCCAGACTCCTCTGGGCCCGACTACCGGCCTGCCCCTCGGCTCCTGCTCCCCGCCGCCCCGCACGTACTTGATGCTGTCGGTGTGGGTTTTGTACTCCATAATGGTGTTGGGAGGGAGGTTTAGCACTCGCCGCAGCGTGTCCCGGATCCGGGCCGTGGTGGCTTGGTCGCTGGCCGTCTTGTTCCATATTGAGATGATGTCCTCCTGCGGGAGGGACAGGCGGGGTCACCGGGGCAGACCGGCGCAGGGAGGGGCGCAGAGGCAGCAGAGGGGGGCGAGCCGGGCCCAGGGCCACCTACCTGAAAGCGGACCGAGACCACGGCCCCGCAGACCTCCTCCCCGACCATGAACTGCTCCCCCAGCATGGCCAGGATGAGATTCTCCCAGCAGCGGGACGCCAAGCCCTTCCGCAGGCGGATGATCCACTTGCCGCCGTTCTTATTAGCATCATCCTGTACGGAAAGACAAGGGATTCACTTAACCCCGGGCCCCAGAGCCCTCTTCCTTTGTCCAGACGGCCCGGAAAGCCTCAGATGCTAAGAAACCTGGTCCCTTTTCAATTACTCAATGTTACGGGGAAAAACAAATAGGAAAAAAGAAACCAAGGCAGGAACCCTGGTACAAGTCTCGGAAAAACAAAGGTCTACAGACCCCCTTGAAACACCCTCACAGGCAGAGGGAAACATGGAGGGAGGAGCATTGCAACTTTGTAAGACTGAAAGCCAGACCGGAACAACTTTGTAACTATGTATCTCACAGGAACAGGCCGAGAGGGAGCCTGGAGGAGAGGGAGCCTGGCCCGGAGCGGCAAGGGAGAGGTAGGAGGGGAGGAAGCCATCGAGTAGGCTGGCCCAGACCCACCCCATGGCCAGCAGGAGACAGCGGCCATAGGCCTTATTGGTGACCCAGCCCGGTCAGCATCATGTCCCCTAGCCCGGGCACTGAACCATCTGCCAGCCGGGCACCGCTGGACACTGCTTTGGCAGACCCCACCCGGACAAGAGAAAGGAGGCAGCTGAGGGGAGCACCGGGAGTGAGCTCAGACAGAGGACTGGCCATGAGAAGGGGGGAGTCAGAGGGGGAGTAAGGAGGGAACACAGGAATAACGGGGCGCCTGGATGGGGACACCCATGTCTTCCGGGAGACCATCCTGGCATCAGGTCACAGCTAGGGCGGAGCAAAAACCACGGTGTCGGCCCATGGATGGGCTCTCCCCTATGGGAGCCAGCGTGTCCCCACAGCCTGGGGACAGCCTCTCACTGAAGCCATCAACAGGGCCCTTTCCCCGGCCTCGCCACGCCCTGGGAACAAAGCAGCTCTGAAATCCACCTCCAGCCCAGGCAGGGGCTTCAGGCGCCCATCCTAGCGAGTCCTGACACTTCTATCCCAGGTGGGGGCGGCTGAACCATGTTCTAGCCAAGTCCCGACACCTCGACCCCAGGAGGGGGCCTCAGGCCTGTGTCCCAGGGAGCAGACTTGACCCCGGCGGACTCACCTCCCACATGGGCTTGATCCCCTCCTTGAAGAGGTGGAAGTCACTGTGACCTGTCAGGTCCCCGGGACGTACCATGTGGCTGTAAAACCTCCAGAACTGCTCCACCTGCAGAGGAGAGAGGTCAGAGGGCACGGCTCTGCTTTGCCTCCGGAAATGGGAGGCGGTGTCGCTGCGGCGTGTTGTCAGAGAGGCCCCTTGCCATCCCTCTGTGTGGCGGCTGTGGCAGGGGGTGCTCCCGCACCGCCCTAGGAGAGACCAGCTCCAGGGCTCAGGAGGGCGTTTCCCGCTAGTCCTGCAGGGTGGCCGCTCACTCTGCTCTGCTCCTGCGGGAGACTCGACTCGCAGCTGCACCCCTGCGAGCCGCACCCCAGTGCACTCAACACATCCCTGGACCCCAACCATGGACCCTTTCAGGAGATGCCATCAACCCGTGCACAGAGAACCCGGAGTCCTGAGCATGTTAAGTGCCAGGTCATCGCGGCCCAATCAGCTTTCCTAGAACCAGATCACTTCTTATTTATATTATTATTATTGGTTTTCTGGGCCACACCGAGCGGTGCTCGGGGAACCATATGGGGTGCCAGGGGTCGAACCCGGGTCTGCTGCGTATAAGGCAGGTGTCCCACCGGGTGTACTATCGCTCTGGTCTCCAAATCACTTGCTTTTTCAGCTACGTCCAATGGTGCTCAGGGCTTACCCCAGGCTCTGCACTCAGGGATCACCCCTAGTGTGGTTTGGGGATCACAGGGGGTACCAAGCTGCATGTAAGGCAAGTGCCCTACCCCCTCAACGGGTCACTCTGCAACCAAACTGCTTCCTGACCAGAAACTATTTACCAGCAAATATAGTATCAGCTGCAATAAAATGTGTCAATTTTGTTGTGTTACTAGCAACCACAATGGTAACCAAAATGCTTCTCTTAACTAGTACCAGTTATTTTTTTTGGGGGGTCATTATGGGGGTTTGTTGGGCCACACCCTGCAGTGCTCAGGGCTTACTCCTGGCGCTGTACTCGGAGATCATTCCCAGTGGGCTGAACCCAGGTTGGCTGTATGCAAGGCAAACGTCCCACCTGCAAAATTTCACTAATGTTTTTTTTCTTCCGCACTACACTTGTCTGTGCTCAGGGTTTACTCCTGGAAGGCGCCACATTAAGGTCGGGACAGTGACAAACCAAACCACGCAGCGGCTTACATCCTCCCAGCCCCCAACGTCTGGTTGAACCCGGGCTCGACCGTGCTTCCACTCGCTGTCTCCCCGCTTCCTCATAGCCGTTCCTCTGGGCTCCAGCGGCCCGACAGAGCGCGGAGCAGCGGCACCCTCGAGAGAGGACGGGGGCGGCCCAAAGAAGCGGCATCTGCCGACACTGTCCAAGGTGGCTGAGAGCAGCGTGTGGTGGGCCCGGCTGGGGCGACGCGGGTGGGGGCGGAGGAGCAGCAGTCCAGCCGAGGGACAGGCCTGCGGACACCGAGCCCATGGCGCCAGGACAGAGGCAGCCGGGCCGGTTGGGGCTCACTCGCAGGCTGGCCTCCGGCCCTGAAGCCAGGCTGCACAATCCGAGCTCCAAACCACGGGGAGAGGAGCAGCACAAATGGCACCAAATGGGACTTGCCCCCCCCCCCCCCCGGGCAATTCCGGTTTACGGAATCTGAACTGGAAAGTCGAAGTGTAAGACACGTTCAGCCCTTGGACAGGCAGTGTGGCTGGAGCCGGCTCAGCCTCTGCCTGCTCCCAAGCTGGGAAGGGTCTCAGGGCCCGCCCTGGCCGCAGAGCCTAGCACCCAGGCAGACCCCGCCCTCTCGAAAATGCAGTCAGAGGCTGGGATCAAGGACCACCGGGAAACACTGCTTTGGACTGGGTGCAAGGGTTCACGATGGAGTCCGGAGCTGCGACAGCGGGAGGGTGCCGCTTGCATGCAACTGCCCAGGGTTCGATCCCCGGCACCCCACAGGGTCCCCGAGCACTGCCAGGAGTGATTCTGAGCACAGATCCAGGAGTAAGCCCTGAACATCGCAGGGTGTGCCACCCCTTTTCCAAAACCCAAAAAGCAAAATAGACTTCATGGTATCATTACTTTTCTGTGAGAAATTTAGTATTATGAGCCATTTCTCAACACCTCAAGAATGACAAGATGGCAACTCTAAGCCATCCATGGATGTGAGCACCAGCATTAGCGAAAATGCTCGCCGCCAGCACCCAAAGGAAGAAAGGCCCTTACTCAGGGCAGTGGGCGTGACTTTCCTGCAGTCCCCATCACCCTCACCCAAACCTGCTCCCGGGGCCCACCCTCTGCCAGCTCACAGGCACAGTGCCCTCACCTGCAATGCCAGCCATGCCCCAAGAGCAGGTGTCTGAGACAGGAGCGGGGACAAGGCCCTTGGCGGCACGGAGCCACGTGGTTTAAACTGTCAGGGGTCACTCCTGAATGCAGCCAGGAATAAACAGCCCCCGAGCACTGCCAGGGGTGGTACCCCCATGCCCCCTGCAGAGTGAATCATCCCATTCCTCTGTCTAGAAGCCTGCTGGTTGGAACTGGAGACAGCAGAGCAGGGAGCTCGCTTGCCGGGCAGGAGGCCGGCCCAAGTTCGATGCCCGGCATCAAATATTCCGCCCCACCCGTCCCTGTGTACTGCCCGGAGTGATCTGAGTGCAGAGCTTGGAGTCAGCCCTGAGCACAAACCCCTTTTCTGTTGGGGTCGGATAGCACAGTGGGTAGGGCACGTGCCTGACTCAGGTTTGAACCTTGGCATCCCATATGGTCCCCCAAGTTCCCACCAGAAGTGATTCTTGATTACCGCCAGGTGTTCGGCAAACCAAAAAAACCTTTGTATTATCATAATCACCTATTCATTCTTTTTTTTTTTTTTGCATGCTGGAATTGAACCCAGGTAATCTGATTTCTAGCCTGACTTGATATTTTCAGTTGGCCTATGTTTCCCCTATTACTGAAAATTAAGACGTAAAAAAATTTTTTTCGAGGGGGCTGGAATTATAGTACAGCAGGTAGGTCATTTGCCTTGCACACGGCTTACCCAGGTCTGATTCCGGGCATCCCAATATGGTTCCCTGAGCAGTGCCAGGAGTGATTCCTGAGTGCAGAGCCAGGAGTAAGCTCTGAGCTTATTCACCGGGTGCCCCCAAACAAGAAAGAACAAGGTTTTAAAAGTAACTCGGAGTGGGATGGGATACAGCTCTGCAGGAGGAGGTTGGGGCTCACTTTGGGTTCAGCAGACCTGGGCGCAGAGGGGACACCAAGCAGCGCCCAGCGCCCTGTGCTCTCCGCCTGTGAGCTCCACTTCAGAACTGAAGCCTCCGAGCACTGCCGTGGCAGGACTCCTGCGCAGAGCCAGAAATAGCCCCTGAACACTACAGGGTGCGGCCGCAAGCCCAGAATCGGGCTCAGAAGCAGCTGCTCTTGACAGGGGGCTTTCGGGGGGAAGGACGCAGGCCCAGAGACAGAGCCGACACCCCTGAGAGGGGGAGGTGGGGGACGCCACCCGACGGACAGCAGGAACCCCAGGATGCTGTCTCCACGTCCAGGCGGTGCTCAGGGCTACTCCAGGGTCAGTGCTCGGGCCCCGGCGACGCCGGCCCTGCCATCCTCTCAGTGTGTGTCACACACCGGCACCGATCCCCAATGGATCCAAGGCTGAGACCGCATCTGGCGGGGCAGGCTGGGGTTCGACTCTCATCTCAGGCCTAGAAGGTAGCGGGAGCCCCAGCAGAGCTGTCCCGGGGCCCTCCAGCACCTGCATTTGAAATAGGATAAACACCTTAATTTCATTTTCTTTCAACTTTAGTTTAAAGCGACACGGGCAGTACTGAGAGGCGGCTCCCCAGCTCACTGTGTCCAGAAGCAGAGCACATGCGCCAACTCTCTGCGCCATCTTCCTGTCTTTTTTTTTTTTGCTTTATGGGTCACACCCAGCGATGCACAGGGGCTACTCCTGGCTGTGCACTCAGGAATCACCCCTGGCAGCGCTCAGGGGACCATATGGGATGCTGGGAATTGAACCCGGGTTGGCTGCGTGCAAGGCAAACGCCCTACCCGCTGTGCTATGACTCCAGCCCCCATCTTCCTGTCTTAACCCAGCAAGGAGTTTCTACTAAAATAATAAAACCTTGAATTTGGCTCTGCTGAAAGATCAATGCACATCATAGAGGAAGCTGGTTTCTGCTACAGATTCAAGGGTCTAGATTCATTCCAGGAGAGTCTCGGACCCGGAACTGGCGCTGCCCACAAAAACATTCAGAACTGCTTCATGCTTAACACTACGTACTACAGAATGTGTCGTGAGACTGTGCGTACGGGGATGGACGCAATGAATATCTACCCTTTCTTGTTTTTGTTTGGAGGCCACACCAGGCAGTGCTCAGAGCTAACTCCAGATTCTAGGCTCAGAGGTGGCGCTCCAGTCCTGGGAATCGAACCCGGGCTGGCCCCGTACAAGGCCAGTATAAGGTCTGCTGTACTATCTCTCCAGCTTCTAAACGCCCACTTCCACCAACCAACTGATATTTTGTATCGCCCCCTTCTGGCCAATATGGTGATGCACAAGGAACCTAAAATGAACAACCGTGACCTCTGGGACCCAAGAAAAGAAAGAAAACGTACAAGTCACTAGGGGGACACAGGCTCACGACCACAGGCGCCGCAGGACTCACCGAGGCAAAGGTGCCGATCTGTTTGATATTCTGCTCGTAGCTCTGTGAGCTGGTAGGCCGACCGGGGGTTCTCCTGGAGTACCAGAAAGTGTAGTTGTACTGCAGGGGATGCTCTGCTGGTCCCGGGACAACAGCCTGGAAACAGAGACGCTGCGTTAGTGCCCACGTGTGTGGAGAAAAAAGGTTGCTTTTGGTGTGAGGTTTTGGGCCATACCCGCCAGTACTCAGAGCTCACTCCTGGCTCTGTGTTCAGGAATCACTCCTGGCGATGCTCAAGGGACCAGCCACATGTGGTGCCAGAGATCAAACCAGGGTTAGCCACCCTCAAGACAAGTGTTTTACCCACGGTCCGTGGACTATCTCTCTAGACCAAGAAAAGGCTATCTTTTCTTTTTTAACTTTTTGGGTCACACCGGGCGGTGGACAGGGGTTCCTCCTGGCTCATGCACTCAGGAATTACTCCTGGTGGTACTCGGGGGACCATATGGGATGTTGGGAATCGAACCCAGGTCATCTGCATGCAAGGCAAATGCCCTACCCGCAGTGCTATTGCTCCAGCCCCTTCTTTTTTTTTCCTTTTGGGGGCGGGGTGTGTTGGGCTGTACCCGAGGGTGCTCAAGGCTTACACCTGGCTCTGCGCTCAGGGATCACTCCTGGAAGGTTAAGGGGTTCATATGGGATGCAGGGAATTAAACCCAGGTTGGCTGAGTGCAAGATAAGCACCTTACCTGCCGAACTCTCTCTCTGACCTTTTCTGGTTTTTGAGTCACACCTAGCTGTGCTCAGGGCTCACTCCTGGCAGGCTTGGGGACCATATGGGGTGCTGGGGAATCAAACCCGGGTTGCCACGTGCAAGGCAAGCACCTTACCCGTCGCACTTTCGCTTTCACCCCAAGTTTTTGTAGCTTTCTTACTACTTTTCCTCTTTTCCCCACAGGGCCTGAGCCAGTAAGGCAGATGCTAGACTGCTGAGCCATAAGCCCCGCCCCAGGTCCTGTCGCTTCCCCACCTGGGTCTGAGGCGCGGCCTCCTCTGGGCACCCTGACCGACTTTCTGGCTAGTGATCTCAGGCAACCGCGTACCCTGTTTGTGCCTCCGCTGATTATCAGCAGACGGGGAAAACGTGGCTGCTAGCAGGGGGCCGGGGAGAAAGCGCGAGAGGCAGAGCATGAGCTTCTCACGTGCAAGGACCTGAGAATGATCCTGGGCACTACCCGGGGCATCAGCACAGTCAGGCCTGCAGCTGGGCTGAAGGGCAGTGGCCTGGTCCCAACATATGGGAAGTGGCTCTAGTGAAAAAGTGAAGAGGGGTGAAGTGCTCAGTACGGAGCCTGCAAGCAGCACATGCTCAGAACCTGCCACTCTTACTTCTGCTGCTATGAAACTCAACACTCGTGTACCCAGCCTGTGCATCCCGCAGGCACTCCACGTCACGGAAACTGATGCCCGAGAGCTCAAGAAGAAGTTGATGCATCTCCTGCCCCATCTGAATTTTCTCTCCTCCGAGGCACTTTCAGGAGCTGAGAGACTGGGCGGCAGCCGGGTGGGCCTACCTCCCGTGGGGAGAGAAAGGAAGGCGAGGATGCCTCGTGACCCTGCGGCCTGGGAAAGTTTTCCGCTCCAGCGAAAGCCGGTGACTCACTCGCTCCTTGTCTTTGTCTGGGAGCCCCACCTGGTGATGCTCGGGGGCTACTCCCTGCGGTGCCGGGGAGACCAGGCAGGACCAGGATCGAACCTGGGCTGCCCGCATCAAAGCAGGTGCCCAACCCCGGCTCACTCCGTAACGTACTTTCTGCTGGCTTTTCTGGCTGGGCTTCCACCAGGGATGCTGGAGACCGCGCGGTGTCAGGGAGCAGACGCAGGGAGGGCCCCGTGCCGCTCAGCCTCGCTGCAGCCCTCCGAGCCAGCTCCCCAACCCCCAGGAGAGCATTCTAGAAGAGGGTGCCATCACGTGACCCAGGCATCTTTCTCAGATGGGTTCCTGAGGAGGCTCGAGTCCAGAGCAAACGTGTCTGCACAGTAAGGGGACCCACCTTCCTCTTGCCGCTGCTCTGGCTCTTGTCCCGGTCCATTTTTTCCTTCTCACCATCTTTCTGTGTGCTGTTTTCTTCATTCTGATCGTGGTCCCCACTGTCATCATCTTTCAATCTGAACAGGAAGGCGAAACACTGTTATCCCAGAACTGAGCTGGCTCCAGCTTCTCCCCACCCACCAAGTGAGATGCGCTACCGCGAGCCACCCCGAAGGAACTGCAGACAGTCGGTGAGATGCAGACGCGAGGGGTGAGGGATGCAGAAAGCGACTAGGACTAGGGTTAAAGCAAAAAGGAGGCGCTGCCAGCTGGTGTGGAGTTCAGAGAGCACTGCCTTCCCGTTTCATAAAGAACTGCACAGAGAAGCAAGAAGTCAGCAACCGAAGGGACTGTTCTCTTGAACGATCACGAAGAATCAACAATGAGAAGAGTTTCTGAATTGAGCAGCTGCTTTGGCCTTTCCAATGAGTTTAAGAACTCACCTAACCCTCCTATCCGTCCCAGACTCTGGCCCCAATTCAGACCCTCTTCTCATGCCACTGCAATTGTTACAGGAAGTTCTTAAAGGGTCTCGACAAGAGCGCCCTGCCCGCCCCCCAGGTGTCCTGTGGCCACCAGCATGCGAGTCCTAAAGGCCATCTCAGTGTTCGCTTTCATCCTTAGGACCCCAGCGGCTCTCCCTCCCCCGGCAGGACAGAGCACAAGGAAACACCGAGAGCCTCGAGGACCTGGCTCCTGCCCCTGGCAACCTCTCCCGGTCCTGAAGCCACCTACCCCTCGGCCTTAGCTGCCATTCCTCCATCTGATTTTCCTACTAGATGGAAGGGTCCCTTCGAATAGTGTCTTATTAATCTCTGTATCTCCAGCACCTAGGACAAGAAGATGCTGAATCAGTGAAGAGAAAATGGAAAAGGATGAATGTTGTCTTCTAAGTACGTCCAAAGGCTCCGCAGGTGCCACTGCGTGGAGCAGTGAAACTACTCTACAGCCCTGGGGCCCAGCAGCTCAGCCAGACAGAGCCATCCTCGGAAGGCTTCCGCGCCCGGGCTGTGCGGTAACCAGTGCGACCACCTGCCCCAATAACCCTCCAGTCCAGTGGAATCATACGACTCTCAAGAAGAGACTACACCTTGATTGCTTAATACAAGTATCAAGGAAGCCACTATTTAGGGTTTTAAAAAAATCTTTCTTGATACATATCAAGAAAGCTCATATACGCTCAATTTATAATAGATGTTGCCCTATCCACAACAGAGAACTGTGTATTTTGCCCTAAATCTCTAGTCCCTGGCATGTAAAGAACGCTCTACAGATACTAGGATGGATGAGCAAGCCACGTGTGTGTGTGTGTGTGGGGGGGGGGGAGAACGCCCACTCCCCTGTATCACAGTCCGAGAGAAGGGACAGGCACCAGCGGCCGTGTGCTGTGCTCTGAACCACACCTGGCCAGGTCGACGGGCAGCTGAGCAAAGGGCAGTCTAGCCCGGAACCTCACGTCCCAGGGCCCGGGAGGGAGTTCAAAGGTCCCAGAGCAGCTACCCAGTCGAGGCCAGCCAGTCCCCAGCACAGGGTCAGCCTGGGAGGCTCCTGACTCTGGCCCAACTCCGCAGCAGCCTCACCCTCAGGGGACAGAGGCTGCCTCTGCCACCAGTCTCCAGGGGCTCGACAGGAAACGCCTCGGGGGAAAGATGAACAAAAGCAGAAACGGGCTGGAGAGAGAGTACCAGGGTTAAGGTGGATGCCCTGGGTTTGAGCCCTGCCCGGGGCAGGAGTGACTCGGGAGTGCAGAGCCAGGAATAAGCCCTGAGCACAGCCGGGTATGGCCCCAAACAAACAAAAAAGCAACAGCAGCCACCGAGAACAGGAAGGTGCAGGGAGCGGAGAGCGCGGTTGCTGGTCTCCCTGCGGGAGGTGCCCCTCCCCTCCCAACCTGTCCTGTCCCGGGACAGCTGCCAGGCTCAGAGCGGGGTGGCTCCCTGCAGCCCTCTCCTCGGAAGCCTCCTTCCAGCTCCCGCTGCAGGCCACAGGTTGGGAACGGCCGCTCTCCCAGGCCGAGTCTGGCTCCCGCTTCGGACCCTCTCCCCAGAAATGCTTGTGCTTGGCCCAAGCGGGACTGCTCCAGCCCATCAGGGCCATCTGTGGCGCTGAGACGACTCTGGGGACACACACCCTCCCACATCACAGCTACCGGGCCGGAGGCGTGTCGCATGAGGAGGGTCCCTGTGGCACCTCTCTTTTGGCTAGACCCCAGCAAAGCATGGCAGTTCCTTTCTCTTTAGAGAAAGACACTGAAACGCAGGAGTGACAAATTATGCTGGAGAGGAAACAGAAGGTGGTTTCCTGGGGTGCCGCCGCCCAGCTCCCTCCCTCGGGAAGTCTTGAGGGGCTGCCTTCCCCAGGATGGAGCCAGGCAGTCACCCCGCCTCAGCCAACGCCGCCTCAGCCAACGCCGTCTGCCCTCCAGAGGCGACTCTCCCAGATGCAGGCTGGACTGGCGCCCAGCACCCAAGCAAATTAACAACTCCATGCTCCACGGACACAAGCTGGCAATTAGCACAGGAGGCTGGCCAGACAGACTGGCACCCCGTTGGCCCACCAGCTTCTGCTCAGGTATGTCCCCTGACTTGTGTGACTGGACGAAGACCCTTCAGCGAGGGACTTGGTCTGATCCATCTGCGTATGTGCAGCATCCGAGGGAGAAATGAGCTGGCTTCGTGAGTGGGCTTTAAAAATCAGACTAATACAGGGCAGACTAGGGTGTGTGCCAAGGGACCAGTTCAGGGGCCGGAGCAAGAGCACAGCGGGTAGGGCATTTGCCTTGCACGCGGCCGACCTGGGTTTTGATTCCCAGCATCCCATAGGGTCCCGCAAGCACCTCCAGGAGTGATTCCTGAGTGCAAAGCCAGGAGTAACCCCTGAGCACTGCTGGGTGTGACCCAAAAAGCAAAAATAAATGAATAAATAAAGTAACCAGTTCAGACCACGCTTAGGAAAGGGCTGAGAGCAGGGACTGGAGCGCTAGCACGGTGGGGAGGGCGCTTGCCTGGCACTAGCGGACCCGGCTCTGATCCCCGGCATCCCATATGGTCCCCCAACCCCTACCAAGGATGATGCTCCCTGAGCACAGAGCCAGGAGTAAGCTCTGAGCATGACTGGGTGTGCTCCCCCATCCCCGCCCCCCGACACACAAACACACAAATTTGAAAGGCTCAAAAGCTAACCAAGCGTGGCCAGGGACAGAAGCAAAATATGGCCTGGGGATACAGAAAACAAACAGATCACCGCTGCCTGTGAAAGACTGGGGTGACAGGGGACAGGAGCAGGGCAGGTAGGAGGGAAGGGCAAAACAAAGACAGTCCTGATGAGGACCACAGCAGCTGTGAGCAGACTTCGAGGGGAGCTACCCTACTCTGCTCCGGGGCCTGCCTGCTGAAGATGCCGAGACAGTGGCCCACAGAACCAGACCCCACAAGAGGAGCTTCAGATGCCATTTCAAAAAAAAAAAAAAGAAAGCTCTGGTTGCTCTCATCACAGCTGGGGTTTCCAAGTTCTGGTGCAGGGGCTGGAGCGGACGATCCAAGCGGGCAGGAGGACACTTGCCAGGCATGCCACCCCTGGGTTCAATCCCTGGCACCCCATACGGTCTCCCAAGCCTGCCACGAGCCACGAGTGGTTCCTGAGCAAAGGGTCACGAGGGAGCAATGCCGGGTGTGGCCTGATGTAAATAAATAAAACCTATTTAAAAAAAAATATATATATATGTATATGGGCTGGAGCAATAGCACAGCGGGCAGGGCGTTTGCCTTGCACGTGGCCGACCCGGGTTCAATTCCCCGCATCCCATATGGTCCCCAGAGCACCGCCAGGGGTAATTCCTGAGCCAGGAGTAACCCCTGTGCATCGCCGGGTGTGACCCAAAAAGCAAAAAAAAAAAAACAAAAACAAAAATATATATGTATGTATATTTTTGTTGTTGTTCTGGTGCAGTTAAGGTATCAAGATATTCCGGGTTATTTTTTTTTTGCCAAGGAGATACTGGAACCAAAAAAAAAAAAAAAAAACCGCGGAAACGAATTCCATGACCCGGTGGTCGGGGGGCAAGTTACAGAAGCTCCAGACCTGGGAAAGGGAATCCCGGGCCGCCCCCGGGCAGAGCTGCAAGCTGGGGGCGGGAGCTGCGGGGCTTAGCGGGGGATGGGAAAGGGGGAGGGGGCGGGAGCCGGGACCCCCGCGGGCGGGGAGCGGCGGCCTGAGGCGTGTCCGAGACGGCACCGGGTCGCCCGAGGCGCGTGGGGACCCACCCCCGCGTCCCCGCAGCAGCAGCTGCAGCAGCAGCCAAACCGTCAGCCCCCGTCGCCGCCGCGTCCCGCTCGCCTCGCGGCGGCACCTGCCCGCGGCCCGCTCCCCGCTCCCCGCCCGGGGCCTCGGGGTCGCGTCCGCCCGGGCCTCGGGGCGCAGGAAGCGGAAGGCGGCGGGGGGGACCGCTCGGGCGGGCGGATCGCGGGGGGCGAACGCGGCCTCGGAAGGCGCGGCCGGCCCGACCCCTCCTCCTCCTCCTCCTCCTCCTCCTCCTCCGCGCAGGCCGCCCGGGCCGGGGGCCGCCGCCGCAAGCCAGCCCCAGCCGGCGGGCCGGGCACGGCGGGCACGGCGGGGGGCCAGGCGCGGGCGAACGGTCGGGGGCAGGGGGCCCCGGGGGGCGGCCACGAGCCACTCACGCGTCGAACTTGTTGTTCATCCTCTCGCCGCCGCCGTCGCCACTGCCTCCCGGAGTGACTTCCGCTCCGCCCGGTCCCTCCGCCGCGGGCCCGGCCGCTTCCGGTCTCCCGGGCCGGAACGTCGTCGTCGCCGCGCTCGGCCGCGAGGGGGACGGGTTAGGCCGGGACCCCGCGCGCGCCTGCTGCGCCTGCTGCGCCTGCGCCTGTGTCCGGGCCCGCCGCGTCGCCTGCGCCCGCTGCGCCGCCTGCGCCCTCTACGCCGCCTGCGCTCGCTGCGCCTGCGCCCTCTGCGCCCGCCGCGCCTGCGCCCTCTGCGCCCGCCGCGCCCGCGCATGCGCCCGCAGAGGCGCCGCTCTCCTGGTTCCAGCGGCTATGCGCTGTCTTACTGCCCTGCTCCCAGCTGCCGTGTGACCCGGTCCGCGAAGCTGGGCCCCTTGGGTCCGGGCGACGCCGTGTTCTGGCACCCAGCCCGCCCGGAAGGATCCAGTGGGATCATCAGTATCAGGGACTTGACCCAATGACCACCCCCCCCCCCTCCCCGGACGTGCTAGTCCTTGTTGATCTGTTCTTGCTCCTGCCTGAACCTCTTCGAGCTAATCGCCCTCCCTAGTGGGCAAACAGAATCTCCCCAGATAATACAGATGGGCATGCCACTCCGATTGTCTTGAGGACCTCCGGCGAGTAGCCTTGCGGTGTGTGCACTGCTCACACTCCGAAGCCAACAACAACAACCCTATATATATATATTTTTTCTGCTTTTTTTAGGGGGGGGGCTCACACCTGGCGATGCACAGGGGTTACTCCTGGCTTTGCACTCAGGAGTTACCCCTGGCGGTGCTCAGGGGACCATATGGGATGCTGGGAATCGAACCCGGGTCAGCCGCGTGCAAGGCAAACGCCTTACCCGCTGTGCTATCTCTCCAGCCCCAACAACCCTATATTTTAGAAGGGTGTCCCCGGGTCCTCTCTTCGCCACCACAGTCAGCAGTGGTCAGGTCTTACTCCTGACTCAACGTTCAAGGATCACTCCTGGAGGGGCTCCGGGGACCCTATAAGATGATGCCCAGGATGGAATCCTGGTGGGCAGCATGGAAGGGAAGCGCCTTCCCCGGCTGTACGCTGGCTCTGACCTCGGTGGTGAATTTCACATTTGTGAATGTCACCGCCTCGGATCTGAGATGAGGGTAGATCGGAATGGACGTCTGTGCCTGCAATGACAGATGAGGAACCGAACCCCCCAGCAAGGAGAGAAGTCTTGGGGTGACTCTCCAGCCTGCAAAACTGAGGCCCCAGCTAGGCAGCTCCCACCAGGAGACCTCAGCCTGGGGCTAGCAATGGTGAAACCCAATGGAGCACTCGCCTGGCATGAGTGAGGTCCTGGGTTTGATCACTGGGTCCTCCCCACAAAGATGGGAGGGAGATGGGGAGAAACTCTCTACTGGCAACCTTTTTACTAATTGGGGCCAGGGTCTCCTCCTGGAATCCTGGGGTGCCTCGGGGTCATGTGTGGAGGATGGACACTGGCCCTGGGGCACAGGTGCAAAGCCTGTGCCCAGCCCTTCAAGCCCTCTCTCCGGCCCCTTGCACAGTCTCTCTCTCTTAGGGTCTAAGATCGGGCCAGGGTGGGGGATCTGAGCTCCAAGGAATATTCAGGCACCATTATTTTTGGAAGCTGCTTGCCCAGTTTGGCCACGTGAAACTTGGGGGGACAGTGACATGTATGTGCACGGTGCTGTGAGAACTCTTGGAATCTTTTGTGTGAGTGGGTCAAAAGGCCCGTGACCAGTGCAGATGGCACTGAGTGCTCAGAGCACTTAGAAGGCAGTGGAGGGAGGGGCGCGCGCAGAGAGTGACTTGCTTGTTCCTTGTCACCTTCACCCCACCTTCCCCCCACCTTCCTTCCTTCCCCCCCTGTTTTTTTCCTGTGGGGATTTGGGGGAACTCCCAAGTAAAGGCCCAGGGGCCTCCCTGGCGCTGGTGCTTCATTGCAACGGCCCCAGGATGCGCTACTGTTCAGGTCCCATGGTGCTGGGGATCCCCAAGCAACCCCAGTGTTTCTGGGGATCTCCGGGGCTGTACCCAGGGGTACTCAAGGACCCGGGCTGGTGCTGGAAATCAAACCCGGTCAGGCATATGTGAGGCGTGTGGCCCTGTCTCCTGGCCCCAGCACGGCTCTTAATTTCTTCCTTCAGGCGTCCACCGGGAACTAGACCAGGTCCGGACATGGAGGGCCAGGCTGTGGCTTAGTTGAGGGCGCCACATGAAACAGCCTCTGGGCTTCCAAGACGCTAAGGCTTGGCTGAAACGGGGAGAGCTGAGCTGAGCTAGCGTCCCTGGCCACGGCCCCCAGGAGATCAGGACAGCACCCCCGCAGCCACCGGGCCCCAAGCACACACACGCCACGGGCTGCACTCAGGTCTTTATTCCCAGTTTTCCCCACAGCTGGCCCCAGGGCAGCTGAGCTCAGTGTGGCTTGGCTCAGTCGGGGGAGGGCAGGTAAGGCCGGGGGTCTCCAGGGAACGGCAGGGCGGGCACCCGGTTGTAGTGGGCCATGAGGAAGATGCCAGCCGTGCCACAGACGAAGAGCGAGAGCATGGCGAGGAAGCAGACACGGTCCAGTACTCGGCCCACCAGAAACCACTCTTCATTCCCCTGGGAGGGGTGGGGGGGCAGGTGTGGGTGACAGGAAGTGACCCCCCCCAGCCTGCCCCAGATCCCCAGTCCACACAGACCTTCCACCAGGCCACAACCCCTGCCCACCTTTCTCTCTGTCTCTCTGGCTTCCTCTGGGCTCCCCAGAGGCCTGGCTACCCCCTGCCCCACCACCGTCCCCTGTACTTGCCCGGTCCACGGTCCTAGGTGAGCCACCTGCTCCTCCTGCTTTTCTGGGGTCCCACCCTGGTCCCCCCAAACCCCCCCCCTCCACACACACACACACTCCCAGCTGACTCACGCTGTGGAAGCGTGCCTGCTGGCGCCGGGCGCGCGCAATGAGGTTGCAGGCGGCCACGCAGGCCTGGATGGCGGGGGCCGCCTGCTTCAGGTTCCCGCACAGTTCCTGGGCCAGGCCGGGCTCCGGGCCTTGCTCTGCGCCACGGAGGGACCGAGGCTTGGGCAGGGCACCGTGGCGAGCCGGGCAGAAGCCGGGCGCCCTGCAGCCCCACCCGGGACCCGCGCGCACCAAGAAGGGTCCCCACTCTCACCCATCCAGAACCCGCGCGCGCGCGCTCAGGAGGGTCTCCACTCTCACCCAGACGCTCCAGCGCGGCCCTCACCAGCCCGTTGCGTGGGCGCTGCCGGAAGAGGAGCTCGCTGCGGGGCAGCCGGAGGGACCCCTCCTCCGCCGCCGGGACGGAGCCGCGGGGCCAGGGGTCCCGCACCGGCGCCGCTGGGGCCCCCGGTGGGCGCACGTGCATGCGTAGCAGCTGGGGCAAGACCCGCAGAAACACCTGCGGGCGCGCGGGGGATCCGGGCGGGGAGGAGGGAATCAGGGCGGGTGGGCGCCGACTGGGCCCGGGGAGTGGGGAGATGCCAGGACCCGGCCCCACGACCCGCTGCCTTGGCCCCAGGACACGAGTTGCGGGCACACATAGACTCAGGAGGCAGAAGTTGGCCTTGGCAAACCACAGCCGACAGCGATGGGACGAGAAGGAAGGGCTTAGGGAGAGGAAGCCCCTCGTGGGCACAGGGCGAGTCCGTGTGTGTCCACGGGGCTGTTCCCAGGCCAGTTCACTGTGGTGGGCGGGAGGTGGGGGGTGAGCCGGCCGGCAGGGAGGGGCCTGGCCTTGCCTTGCGGACCCCACGGGCCATGGAGTGTGTGTGCGGGGACCTCAGGGACACGTTGAGCACCACCACGGCGTTCACCACGATGAGGATGGTCACCACCAGGAGGAAGGTGAGGTACCTGCAGGGGCGGGGGCGAGCCCTGTGCATCCCACTCCAGCCAGCACCCCCATCCCTGCCCGGTGCTCCCAGGACATCCAGGCGGGGTGGGATGGGCCTCACTTGCTGATGAGTGGCACCGCCTGCGAGGTCTCTGGAACCTTCTTGGCCACCAGGAAGAGGAAGACTGTCTGGGCCAGGAGCACGTTGATGGCCACGGTGCACTTCTGGCCACCCGCTGCCAGAGACCAGACCTGAGCAGGGGGCCACCTCCCCCGAGGCCACCCACCAGCCCCCCACTGGCTCTTGGCAGGGAGTGTGGCCCCCTCCGTACCCTCCTACCGTCCCAGCTGACCTGTGCCCCCACCCCCAGGTACCCACCCCCAGGTACCCTTAGCAGGAAGGAAGTAGATGAGGATGGCCACTGAGGATATGAGCACGCAGGGGGCGATGATGTTGATGACGTAGAAGAGGGGCTTGCGCTGGATGAGCAGGTAGAAGCCCACCTTCTGGTGGCCTGCCTCTTCTCCCGGCTCATGGGCACCCCGCAGCATCTTGGCCGGCCGGTGCCGAATGGCCCATTCCCCGTTCTCTGTGGGCGGTGGGTGGGTACAGGCAGATGGGCACAGGTGCCCCACGGCCCAGAGGAGTGGCTTGCACGGAGGGTGGGGACGGGGTCCATGGCCACTCTCAGGCCCAAAGGAAACTCCTCATCACACAAAACCACTCGTCACACAAAACCCACACTTCGCAGCCCCTCCCCCAAACCCGGGTCCTTTGGAGGTGGCTGTGGTGTTGGAACCGCGTACGCATGAAACTGTTATCAGCGATACCGTTACCAGGGCTGGCGGCATGGCACAGTGGGCAGGGAGCTTGCCTTGTACACAGCCCACCAGGGTTCGATGCCTGGCACCCCAGCTGTTCTCCCGAGCCTGCCAGGAGTGCTCTGTGAGCGCAGGGCCAGGAATCACCCCGAGCAGGGTTAAGTGTGGTCTCCTCATCCCTTCTCATTGTAAATCATGATACCTTAATTAAAATGGTGGGAGGAATGGGTTTGGGGCCCTTTGACTCGAAGGGCTGGAGCACCGGCTTGGCATGTGGGGAGCCCCAGTGCAATCCCCCAGACCGCATTGTCCCCAGCCCCCCGACACTGGGCAGCCCTGCCCCACAAAACACAACGAAGACGTTCGGTGGCAGTGAGCTGTGAGCTGTCCTCTGCAGTGACGTGGGAGGCCGTGTGCCCTTGTGTGTAGTTACCTGTGAAGGCCTCGGGGTCGATGAAGACCCACTCAATGGGCCGCCCGTCCTCCTGACTGAGCTGCAGGTTGATCTCGCTACTGCTGTAGGTCTGGGACCTGGCGTCAGAGGCCACAGGGTGGTCTGCCAGCAGCATGCAGGATGCCTCCCACATGTCCCTGGGTCGCTCCCACCCCCGGCATGGGCCAAACGGGGAGCAGGCTGTGCAAAGACCTCCGTTGTATGGGTGAGGGTCATGCAGCAGTGACCGGCCCCTCTGGACTCCCCCCCCATCTCCTCCAGCCCTTGAGGCCTGTGGTCACTCTGTATTTCACCCCCCCATGTCCTAATCTGGGTTTTAGATCATTTAGAAAATTTTAGGTGCCACTTGGGTCATGCCCAGCGGTGCTCAGGACTTAGTCCTGGCTCTGTACTCAGGGGTGCCTCCTGGTGGTGCTCAGAGGACCATACTTGGTGCCAGGGAGCAGAGCCTGACTGCTGCACTCTCTCCAGCTTGTGGCACGTCTGAGCTGATTATGTGATGATCCACAGGGAGAGGGTCCTTGCTGGGTGCCCCCAGAGTGGGCCCTGAGTCAGCCGACACCCCTCCTTTCCACACGGGGATGGCGCTGAGTGCTGGTGGGGGCCTAGCCAGGTGTGGGGGAGGGGGGCCCAGGGGAGGGGTGCGCCCCAGTCGCCTCCCCCATGCCCCTTCCCAGCAGGGCTCCCGGGCCTCACTGGAAGATGAGGGAGCAGTTCTGCCAGTCGAAGGGGAAGTAGGTGACGGAGACAGGGCAGGAGGAGCGGAAGATGGCAGGCGGCAGCCAAGTCACGCAGCCATTCGGGGACACCAGGACGTTGCAGTAGAGAGCCACCTCGAATACACCGTCCACACTGCACATGGGGCAATACGCCTGAACACGTGGAGCATGCAGCCCATGCCGCACGCAGACCAACACGCCTGAAAACACAGTTCACACTGCACCCGGGCAACATGCCTGAACACACAGTCCACTGTACCCGGGCAACACGCCTGAACACACAGTCCATACCGCATACGGGCAATATGCCTGAACACAGTCCACACTGTACACGGGCAACACACCTGAACACAGTCTACACTGGACCCGGGTAACACACCTGAACACAGTCCACACTGTATCGGGGCAACACGCCTGAACACGCGGAACATGCAGTCCATGCCGGATGCAAACCAACACACCTGAACATGCCATCCACACTGCACATGGGGCAACATACCTGAACACGTGGAATATGCAGTTCATGCAGACCAACACGTCTGAACACGCAATCCACATTGCACACAGGGTAACACACCTGAACACACAGTCTACACTGCACACGGGACAACATGCCTGAACATACCATCCACACTACACATGGACAACACACCTGAACATGCTGTCTATGCGGCACACAGATATGAACATGCTGTTCAGGAGCACATGAACATGCAGTCTGTGGTATGCACAGGCCACCACACCTAAACAAGCCGTCCACACAGTGCAAGGTCAACATGTCTTTGAACACACCATCTACACTGCCACAGGACAACACGTCTGAACATGCCATACACATCACACACAGGTCAACACGCCTGAACACACCCTCCAATGTCATTCATAGGCTAACATGCCTGAACGCCTTGCACACAGGCCAATAGTGGCCAGGCTGGGGACACCAGCCCCTGCCGCCCCTCCCCCTCCAGAGAAATCTCCTCCCGCCCATCCCTGCTTCCTTCTCCAGGTCTCCTTCCTTCCCTTCTTCCTCTCCTCTCTCTCCCCCTCCTTCCATCCCCCCCAACCCCCCTCTCTCTCCCTGCCCCCCTCCCCCCAAGCAGTGCTCAGGGCTCCCTCCTGGCTCTGTGTTCAGTCATCACTCCTGAGTGTGTGTTTGTGGGGGGGTGACCAGGGGACCATGTGAGATGTTGGGGATCGAACCTTGACAAACGCCGTAACCCACTGAACTACTTCTCTGGTCTCTCCAAATCTTTTAACACCAAGGAAAGAAGTGGGGGAGGGGTACCCAGCCAGAGCAGACGTTTCCCAGACATCTCTCTGTACCCCGACAGCCCTCCTGGGGGCTCTGTCTGCACCCCCAGCCCAGACTGACAAAGCCTGTCTCAATCCAGGCCTTGCCCTCAGCCGGCATTAGCCGGAATCCCAGCCCCACGGTGGAGGGGGGACCCCTCCGTCCCCCGACCGCGCCCTCCTCACTTGTTCTCCAGCACCACATCGGGCAGCCACACCATGGTGGACGGGACCCTCAGCACCCGCAGGCCCTCGTAGTCTCGGGGGTCCCAGCGCAGCCGATAGTCGCACCACTGCTGTGGGACGGAGCGGGAGTTCCGGGCAGCGCCCCCCACCCCCAGGGGACCCCAGAGGGAGCAGAGGGAGGGCGCTCACCATCTCGATCCAGACGTTGGTGGTCAGAGCTTCCTCTCGCTCGTTCTGGGGGTGCAGAGGGAGTCAGCACCCCCCGCCCCCACGTAGCAGAGGCTCCTCCTCCCCCCACCCCCCTGGCCCCAGCCGGCCCAGCGCACCAGGGAGATGAGGTTGGTGAGGGTGAGCTTCAGGCTGACGTTGACCACGTCCGCCTCGTGCCGCGCTGGCCTCAGGTGCTGGTCATAGCCGTGCATGAGGTCGGCCAGCAGCCGCTCCTCCTGGTTCCGGCCGCGGGCTCCTGTGGGCCGGCACCGTGAACCCTGGTGCCCTGGACACGGGCAGCTGGAGAAGCAGGCACCCCCACCCCGGCGCCCCTGTGCTGAGACCCCCCTGCCGACCCCCTAGGCCCTGACTCCCACCCTGGCATCCAGCCAGCAGCAGCACGAGAAGGAGCAGCACCGGCACCCCGCGCATGGCGCTCAGCCGTCTGCAGGGACAGAGCTGGACACGGGGGCTCTCGGGCCGCCCTGCCCACACACAGGGCAGCCGCCTCCGCCAGCTGTCCCACCGCCGTCAGCTGCTCTGGCGGGGACAATGCCAGCTCGGGTTCCCTGTGCTGGGGAGGGACAGAGGGGCCCTGAGCCCCAACAGAGGCGGTGCAGCCGGGGGTGGGTGCTGAGTCAGGATCAGGCTCCCTCCAGCTCCTTCTGGGGGGGGGGTCAGAATATTTTTTTGCGGGGGAGATTTTTTGGGTCACACGCGGTGATGCACAGGGGTCACTCTTGGCTCTGCACTCAGGAATTACTCCTGGCTCAGGGGATCATATGGGATGCTGGGAATCGAACCCTGGTCGGCTGCGTGCAAGGCAAATGCCCTCCCTGTTGTGCTATTAATCCAGCCCCAGAATTTTTTTTCCTTTGGCCGCCTGAGAAGTATTGGGGGCCCGTGGGCCACCCCCCTCTCCCTCGGGGAGTCTGGCTGGCTGTTTTTTGTTTTTGAAGGTTTTTTTTTTTTTGTTTTTTGTTTTTGTTTTATTTTGCTTTTTGGGTCACACCCAGCAATGTGCAGGGGTTACTCCTGGCTCTGCACTCAGGAATTAACCCTGGCGGTGCTTGGGGGACCCTATGGGATGCCGGGGATTGAATTCGGGTCGGCCGCGTGCAAGGCAAACGCCCTACCCGCTGTACTATTGCTCCAGCCTCTGTTTTTTGGTTTTGAGTCACATCCAGCAGGGCTCAGGGGTAACTCCTAGCTCCACACTCAGGAGTCACTCCTGGCGATGCTCGGGGGACTGTATGGGGTGCTGGGGATCGAACCAGGGTCAGCCGCGTGCAAGGCAAATGCCCTCCCTGTGTGTTGCACTCTGGCCCTGGGTCCTTCTGGCAGGTCTGACGACTCAGCGTTCGGAGCAGCAGGGTCAGCAGGGTCATACCCGCGGTGCTTGGGTGAGGTGGTGGTGGAGAGAACCGAACCTGGGTCTCGTGCATGAAGGTGGGAGTGCCCACCCTCTCAGCCGGCTCTGTAGCCCCCGACGGCTGCGAGGTAATGGTGGCTGGGTGTTGAGTTGCAGCGACTGCACAGCAGGTAGGACTCTTGCCCTGCACACAGCCAGTCCCTAGCCCCATGGCTGGTCCCAGAGCACAGAGGCAGGAGAGCCCCAGGAACCACCAGGTGTGCCCCCCAAACAAAGCAAAAAGCGGGTGGAGGGGCTGGAGCAATAGCACAGCGGGGAGGGCGTTTGCCTTGCACACAGCCGACCCAGGTTCGATTCCCAGCATCCCATATGGTCCCCTGAGCACCGCCAGGAGAGATTCCTGAGTGCATGAACCAGGAGTAACCCCTGTGTATTGACAGGTGTGACCCAAAAGCAAAAAAAAAAAAAAGCGGGTGGATATGTTTTATACCTGACTCAGTTGAAGACCGCCCCCCTGGCCCAGCCCCTGGGGGGATGGAGGGTCCTACGGAGGCAGAGGCAGCTCACTCTTTCACCCCCACACATTTGGGCACTTTAAAACAAACAAGGCACCTGGTCAGCGGCCTGGGCCGATGCCCCACCCACAGACGCGGTCCACTTGGTTCCTGCTACTTCTGCTTTGTTGATTATTAATTCATTCTCTGGGGCCCCACATGCAAGGCCTGTGCTCCAGACCCCTTGAGCCGCTGGCCCCGGCCCAGCTAAAGGCTGCCCAGGAGAGGACTGGCTGACACGAGCCCCGAGGAAGGGCAACAGCAGGGCCCAGCACACCAGGGAGACCCTGACCCACGGCAGGCACAGCCTCGGGCGGGCAGTGCCGGGGCCACGGGGCCACTGATCTCAGTGGAGAGATGGCGACTCATGCTCTGTCCATGCCGAGGTTTGTGGCTGGGCTCTGGAGGGGGGGTGCGGGGACACAGCAGCCAAAGCCATAGGCCGCGGCCACCTGCCCCGTCCATCTGTTCCCACAGACAGCCCCAACTTCCTGTGTGTCACTCACCCCTTGTCTTCCTGAGCTGCTGCGGGCTACAAGGCATGTCCCACCCCACCCCACCCCAGTGAACGATGCCTGTGGCAGGCCAGTGGGATCAGCAAACCTCAGCCAGCCTGGACGCTGCTGACTCTGCCCAGCCTCCCATACGGGACCCTGAGTCCCCCCCACCCCGTGCTCCCCCCGGACACAGTGCCACCCATCCCCCCCCATCACCTGCATGCACCGAGTGATGTGGCAGGCAGCCGGTCTTGCACCCTGCACCCTGTTCCCCAGTGCCCCAGCTTTTGCACTCAGCCCCTCTCTCCAGGATAGACCTGACTCCCCCTCCCACTTTGCCCCCTAGTGCGCCCCCCACTCCTGCCCCTCCCTGTTCTGCAGTGCCATCTCGCCCTCTCCACCCTCCTCCCAGCCCACCCTCTGCCAGGGGCGGCTCATGGCAGATCCCCCCAGCACTGCCCCAGGCACAGGGGAAGCCCCCCAGTCCCGACTCTCCTAGGAACAGAGATTTGTGTCGGGCTTCAGTTTGCCCCTGCATTTTGGGCCTCTGCTCAGGCTAACACCCGGCTCTGGGTTTGGGGATCAATCCTGGTTGGGCTGGGTCACAAGTGGTGTTGAAAATTAAACCCAAGGGCCTGGAGCGATAGCACAGCGGGTAGGGCGTTTGCCTTGCACGTGGCCGACTCGGGTTCGATTCCCAGCATCCCATATGGTCCCCCGGGCACCGCCAGGAGTAATTCCTGAGTGCAGAGCCAAGAGTAACCCCTGTGTATCTTTCGGGTGTGACCCAAAAAGGGAAAAAAAAATTAAACCTGTGTCACACCTCAGAAGGAGTGGATGTGCCTTCTCTGACGCTCCAGACAAAAGCCCGATGGCCACGAGCTTCCAGAAGCAAAACCCAGGTCCACGGGTTCAGGAACTGAGACTCTAGGCCACAGGGTGGTAGTGGAGACAGTGGTCCTTCCCGTCTCCCCACTCGCTTGGGGTCCTGGCTGTCACACCCATAATCTGCCTCTGGGCGCCGTCTCAGCACATCAACGGCCTTGTTCCAGAGACGCCCCAAATGAACCTCAAAATGAATTAGCTCCCTGCAGAGATGTCTCTGGATCCCATCCATTTACAATTTTATAATTCCAGAAGCGACCTCTCATGATATTCATAATAAGCAATAATAGAAAATAAATTATTTAGCATCTGACCCCGGCAGGCAGGTTTGAATGGTGGTGGGAACATTTGAAATAATGATGGTGGGAAGGTGTAATGGTGGTGGGATTGGTGTAGAAATATCGAATGCAATCAATGTGAACAACTTTATGAAAATAAAATTTAAAAAAAAAGAAAAGAAAAAGTCATGCAAACCAAGTGCAAAGTAAGCACACTTCGCAGGCCTCAGTTTAACCTTTCCTAAAATTTTTAATGTGACCAGAGTGATAGTACAGTGGGAACTGCAAGCTTGCCTTGCACACAGCCGAACCGAGTTCAATCACCGGCATCTCATAGGGTCCCCCAAGCACCGCCAAGAGTCATTCCTGAGCATCGCCAGGTGTGGTCCCCAAACCACACACACAAAATTCAAACTCTTCCCGTTTTCTTCCGCCTCTCTGCCTGAGGTGGCTGAGGGTCGTCTTGGTGTCCTGGGGGGAGGGCTGCCTCTGTGAGTGGCCGTGCAGAGGCCTTGCTGGAAGGACGGGCCCGTGAGGGTCACACACAGCGTGTGGCACATTTTTGGCCCACGCAATCCCCCCATGGCTCACTGCACTCTGGGACCAGCAGATTTTGCAGATCTTGCACCGTTTGTGAGTTGTTGGTGACTGCTGTGAGTCCAACCACGCCTGCTGTTCCAAGGGACAGCCTGGAACAGCGGGGGTCGCTCAGAGGGCTGGAGCATTGGCTATACATGCAGGAGTTCAGGCGTCAATCCCCACCACGGCATGATCCCCAGAGTGGTTTAAAAAAGGCAAATGGAGGGTCTGAAGCGATAGCACAGCAGGTAGGGCATTTGCTTTGCATATGGCTGACACAGTCAACCCGAGTTCGATTCCTCAGCCCCTCTTGGAGAGTCCGGCAAGCTACCGAGAGTATCTTGCCCTCACAGCAAAGGTGCAAGCTACCCATGACATATTCGATATGCCAAACACAGTAACAAGTCTCACAATGTTACTGGGCCCGCTTGAGCAAATCGATGAGCAACGGGAGGACAGTGACAGTGATTTCTTTGACATAATGCTCTTGCACAGTTAATAGATAATGGCGGAGTATAAACATAACTTTTCTTTAAACTGCGTGACTGGCTTTCTGGAACTATTTGCCTTGTGGTAGTGACCTGCAAACCAACCCTCAACACCACTGAGGTATTTCTTAACCATGGGAAGTCTGTAGAAGGCAGCTGAGACACTTCAAGACAAAGTGCTTTTTTTGCAGAAAGTGCTGGTCCCTTTCCTGTCTTGAAAGCAGACGTGAGGGCTGGTGCTGGGGCAGCCAGTTTGCAAGCCTGTGGCAGTGAACACGAGGAGCATATATACACTTGGTGGGGAGGGGCTGGGCAGAGTGCATGGAGCCTCAGGAGCTGGGGGCAGGGAGGGGCCGCTGAGCCACTGCTTCCTCTGTTATTAGAAAAAGAAACCCTTATTGGTGAAAACCGTAATTCTTTGGCTTTTCTGCTCCTTGCCACCCAGCACAGTGCTCTCCAATTCACGCTCGTTCAAGAGGGTGCTCAGTCATGCTGGCTGACCCTTTGTAGGGGCTTCTAATGTGACATCCTGGAGAGGAGGATGGTTTGTAGGTCACCCAGGGAGGGAGAGTACCAGGACAGAACACCCAGGGGTGTGTGTTATTGGGGTGACCAGCTGTGACCAGGGTCCCCTGGGCAAGTGTGGTTTGGGGGGTTGTCTGGACAGTTCAAAGCCCCTCAGCGCCCGCTGGGCTGAGACTACTGTAGAAGCCTCATCCCTCGTCTGGGGCTGAGGGCGCCGATGCTGGGCCTCTCGCCCACTGCTGGGTGCAGACGGACAGGCCAGAGCTGGGGGCTGACTCTCAACTTCCTGCTCGTCTAACAGGCATGAGTGCGCACTGGTTTTCCCGTTCAGGTGGAAAAAGCTAAAGAAGTGAACCAAATGTGAGAATTAATGAGGCTGGGGGTGGGCTGGGGCTCACACTGGGCCTTACTCAGGGGTTACTCCCGGTTCTGCACTCAGGGATCACTCCTGGTGGGGCTCGGGGGCCCTATGGGGTGACAGGGATCAAGGATGCAACCCGGATCAGTCATGTGCAAAGCAAGCGTTCTCCCCCCTGGACTAGCGCTCCAGCCTCTCCCTCAAGCCTTCCAACACTTTTACTTTTACCTAAGCCAGAGGCTCTCGGGAAGCGCCTCTGTGCCTGCTGGCAGCTTTGAGGATCACGTCATCGCCCACAGGGGACTCAGATGATGCCCATTCTGCAGACGAGGAACGGGGCTCAGAGGCGAGGCTGGCGCCCCACGAGACAAACTCCCCCAGGCTTCCTTTGGAGAACAACGTTTATTGCCACAGTTTGTCAGCAGGCGTCTGCCAGCAGTTGGCTGGCTGCTTGGGAACCTTCCTGGTGTCTCACGCGAAGACCCCCCCTGGGGCGGGCAGCACTCCTGTCACTCCTGTGGCTGTTGGGGAAAGTTCCTTACTGGGCGGGCCACCCCTGGGCCAGCTGCTTTCCACAGCAGGAACCTTAGCAAGGGACAGGAGAGAAAGGGTTGGGAGGCTGCGGTGGCCTCAGACCCTTATCTGAGCAGTGACACACATCGCCCTGCCATCCTCCTGGCCACCGGGCTGAGCCTGCTGCAGCCGGCAGAGGATGACATGGGAGCCAGTGCCAGGATGTGACACTCACGGGCCATTTTGGCTGGGGACAGGGCCACCCACCACAGCCTGGGGACAGGGCTGGTGGGGGTCCCCTTGGGCAGTGGGGTTTGCCTAATTTAGCAAATCATTTGCCTAATTTAGCTAGTTAAGCTCAAATTTCAGAGAAACCTTTAGGGAGGTCCCAAGTATGTTCCAGATTGTTCCTGACAGCCCTATTTTGTGGGTGGGGGTGGTGGTGGAACTATGTACAAGTAGCTGTCACAAGTAGCAATGGGTCTTCATGCGGTCATTCAAGCTCTATGGAGAGTTTGACTTATATCTCCGATAAAGTTAGGTCCCCATGGGCTGGAGAGCGAGCACAGGAACTCTGGAATTGGCCTTGCATGCAGCTGACCCTGGAACCACATATGGTCCCTTGAGAACCACCAGGAGTAAGTCCTGAGCACATCTGGTGTGGTCCCAAATTCCTGCGCCCTGCAAAATAAGGTCCCCTTCGCGTCTTAAAATCAACACAGTGGTCTATGTTTAATAAATTCCTGCTGGGAGGCAGATACTGTGCTAAAACAAGAAGGTTTGGGGGGGCCCAGACAGGAGGTGAGTTGAGCTGTTTCTGATCTTTCCACCCCAGTCCTAAGCCACCAGAGGAGCCCAGACCGGAGCCCAGACCAAGTGGCCCAGGAAAGGAGGGCCAGAGAAGGGCGCCGTGGAGAGAGGTGGCCTCTCTTGGGCAGTGCACCCCCGAATCCTGAGCTGAGGGTGCTGGGGGAGCGAGGCAGGGAGGCACAGAAGCCCCCTCCTCGGCCCCTCCCCAGGGAAGGAGGAGAGGCCAGAATGCGTAACATCCCCCCTGGACCCCCAAAAATCATCCTGCCCCACTTCCACCTTTCACGCGGCACTGCAGGACCCAGTGGGCTTTCAGGGCCAGGAGTCCTCGCAGGTACCCTGTCCACTCACGGCTCCCCGTGAGGCTGTGCAGAGCATACGAGGGGCGGGGACAGGCAGACCCACCTTAGATGAAGCGCTTGTCCTGCTCCTGGTAGGAGAAGGGGTCCCCAGGGAAGGGCTGGGGTGGCGGCTGATTGTAGGCGCCCTGCAGGAAGATCCAGGCGGTGCCCACCACCATGACGGGCGTGACGACAAAGAGGCAGAGCCGGTCCACGGTGCTGGCCACGCGGTTCCAGCAGTCCTTCTCCTGCAGGAGGCGCCGTGGGCCCCACGCACAAGGGGAACGGGGCGGGGAATGGGGCGTGATCTAGGTAAGGCCACGCCCTTGAGGGAAATACGGGCGTGTCCTAGCCAAAGACCACGCCCATCGGGAACATGGGTGTGGCCTAGCTAAAGGCCACGCCCCTTGGGGGATACGGGCGTGTCGTAGTAAAAAGGACACGCCCCTCCCAGGAGATAGGGCGTGTCCCAGCCAAGTCCCCGCCCCTTCCAGCAGAGCTGGCTTGGCCCCTCCCAGTTCTTTCTGCATTGCAGAGCTCTTGGCAGGCAAGTTGCTAGGGACCCAGGAATGCTTCCCTGGGAGCTCAGGAAGATGGGGAAGGTCCTCTCCTTCCTCACCCCTCCCAGCCCTCAGCATCCACAGGTGAAGCATAAAAAAGGCTGAGGGGTGGGGCAGGACAGAAAATAGTTGGCAGCAGGGAGAAGAGAGGCTGGAAGTGTGCCCGCGCCCCTCCCCCCCATCAGAGGAAACTCAAATCCGCACCCTTTGCCCCACCATAAACTCTGTCATTGAAGTTGCTTGTGACCCTATGGGCACGGTGCTGCCCGCGGTACAGTGCCCTTGATCAGTGTGTCACTGAGGACCCGTTCAAGGAAGTTCTCTGGCTACTCACATCATTGTAATTGTTCTGGTCCTTCATGTGGTTGATGATGAAGTTGGCCCCTTCCACAGCAGGCTTCAACTCGCTGAAGAGGTCCTGCTGGGCCTGCTCAGAGCCCACTGGGGGCTTGCCTGCGGATGCCAGGCCAAAGATGGGCATGAGGCCTCCCCCACACCACTAACCCCCTCCTTCACAGCTGAGCCCCACCACCAGCTGCCAGAAACCCACGCGCTGTCGTGGGACGCCGGGCCAGCCCGTGCCGCTCCGACTGCTTCTCGAACATGAGGTCACTTCGGGACTTGAGGGAGAAGTACTCCTCGGCCTTGGAGATGTAGCCCAGCGAGCTGCTCCTCCGGATCAGGACCCCGGGGCCAGGCTCCTCCTCTGCCGGCCGGGACATGTACAGGAGCCTGGGCAGAGTCTCCAGGAAGAGCTGTGGAGGGACCAGGGAGCAGGGGAAAGGACAGGAAGTCGCTTTACAAACGTGGGAAACTGCTCCCTCCTGATGTCTGGGGTACCATACCTGGCTGCCACATCAGGAACCCCCTACTCCGACCTGTCAGCCTGGGAACCCACTCCCAACTCTCCCTGTTCCCCAGAACACAGAGTAGAACTCCACTGTGGAAAATGAGTTGCATCAGGAAATGCAGTAAAGTCAGAAAAATTCTCTCCTGCTGAGAGCTCTTTTCTTCAAACTCCTCAGAACCAGAGAAGATGCGAAACCACTCTCAACTGGCCCCAAGCAGCCGGGGGTGTGTCACCTTCCACATAACCTACCCTCACAACCAGCATCCCCTTTTTTGGGGGACATGCCTGGATGTGGGGGCAGGTTTTCTGGGATGGGAGACACACTCAGGGCTCACTCCTGGCTCTGCACCAGGGATCACTGCTGGCTAGGTTCAGGGGACCATCTGGGGTGCTGGAAACAGAATCAGAGCATGACATATGCAAAGCAAGCACCTTCCCCAATGTACTATCTCCCGTCCCAGCCAGCACCCCTTTTTTATAGAGATCTAATGAACACGAACATGAGAGAGTCCTAGATGAATGTTTAGATGCTTCTACTGGGTAAACAGCACCCAGTAAGGAAACAATGAAGGGTGTGGCTCAGGGGACCCTGACCGAATTGGGGGAGGGAGATGTCTAGACAGGAACATTATGGCCCCAAGGGTCCCTTCTGTCAGTTCCTACCCGCCCGCTGTGGAAACCGTCCTGATTTTCAGCACTGGGAGTGTTGTGTGGCCCTGTCCTTGGTTGGAAGGGCATGACTGGGCTCTGTTCTTTGGGGTCTGCCTTTCTCTGCAGCATTATGCCTGGCTGGGGGGCATTAGGGCATCCTTGGGGCATGGAGGGCCACGGTTGGGGCTTCGGCTGGCCAGGACCCCGTTGCCTCTGCCCTGCCGCCCCGTCCTCTGCAGGGGGCTTTGGCAATTTCCAGCTTGTGGCTCTGAAACGCCTCACCTTCTTGACTCCCTCTGACAGCACGTGGGTGCTGGGCGAGCGGAAGTGGATGTTGAGCACCACGACGCAGATGACCACGACCATGGTCACCAGCACCATGCCGAAGAGCAGAAACCTGTGGGCAGGCTCCGTCTAGAGACCACGTGGTGGGGCGTGGCACCGAGGGGGCGTGGCCTGGGCCAGGCGGGGTGTGATTGGCCCGTAGGGCGGGCGGGTGGGCGGAGCTTGACTCACTTGCCGATGAGGGGGATGGCCATGGACGTGGGGGGAAGCCGCTTGGAGATCAGCAGAAGGAAGACCGACTGGGCCAATAGCACTGAGATGGCCACCGACGTCTTCTCACCACCTGGTGGAACCGGGCTCAGCCTCCACCCAGGGCGCAGAGGGTCCCCTGTGGCCCCAACACCGCACCCTGGGCTATGGGGCACGTGTGCCCGCCTCCAGATGCAGCCTTTGCACCTGCAGCTGGGTGGCCCCCGGCTAGTCGCCTAACCTCTCTGGCTCCGTTTTCCCTAACATTAAACGCTGGGAGGCTCCCGATCTCCCAGTGGTCCTGGGTTCAGAGATCAAGAGCATCAGCTGCTAACCAAGACCCTCCCCTGCCATCCACACTCCTGAATTAGCCATGAGGGTCCCCCTCTGCAGAAAGCTCCGTGGCGTCCTCGTGGCACCCCGCGAACATCCTCCATCCCTGCTCTTCCCTCAGGGACCCCAGTCCGGCACTGCCCTCCTCTTGTCCTCTGATGCCCCAGTCTGCCTGGCACCCGCGCTCCATTTTCCTTCAAGACCCCTGCCCAGACCCCTCCCACGGCTCAGGGCAGCTCACAGTCGGCTGGTAGGTAGAAGACCAGGGTGACCATGAAGGAGATGAGCACGCAGGGCACCAGGATGTTGATGACGTAGAATAGCGGCTTCCGGCGGATGATCAGGTAGAAAGTGACATCCTGCTGGCCAGGGGTGTCCACTGGGACGCTGGGGTCCAGGTTGACCCGGGCTGGTCGGTGCACTATCTCCCACTCCCCATTCTCTGTGGACGGCAGAGGGACACAGTGGGATCGAGGAGGAGTCACAGGGCAGGAAGAGAGAGGGTCCCGACAGTGAGGGAGAGGGGATGAGCAGAAGTGGTTCAGGCTGAGGTTTTTGGGGTTTTTTTGGTTTTCTGATTATTATTATTATTATTATTATTATTGCCTTTTGGGTCTACCCGGTGATGCACAGGGGTTACTCCTGGCTTTGCACTCAAGAATCACTCCTGGCGGTGTCAGGGGACCATATGGGATGCCAGGAATCGAACCCAGGTTGGCTGCTGTGCTATTGCTCCAGCCCTTCTGTTTACTTTTTGGGCTAAGTGCTCCTGGCAGGCCCGGGGGATCATATGAGATGCCGGGGATGGAACTCAGGTTGGCCACATGCAAGGCAAAGATCTTCCCCACTGGACTATCGCTCTGAGCCTGGTTTAGGCTATTTGAGGTTGTCTTTCTTGGGGGGGTTGGACTGGAAGTTTCCACCATTTTTTTTTGTATCTCCTCTAGGACTAGGAGTGTTTGGTTTCCTTAGGAAAAGCCAAAACTGGTTCAGCTCAGGAGCCTGGGGGGGACTGAGGCAGTGAGAGCCAGGACCAGCCTCCCCAAGGGGCCCCAGAAGAGCTCAGCCCGGCCAGGCAGGAAAATTCCCAAGACCCTAGTTTGACCCCAGGCTCTGCACGGATACACCCTGAGAATGTGGTCCTGGTGGACCCCAGCACCTCACATCTCTGGGCATCACCTGGAGTAGCACTGGGAGACCCCGAGGAGGGGTTCTCAGAGAGGGGGACACAGCCTCCATGAGAATGGTTGTAGAGGGGCTAGAGAAGCCAGCCCCTGCTCTGTGGCCCTCCCAGCCGGCAGCTCCCTTCCCTTCCATAGAGCACGGCCTGGGAGTGGTGTGTGTGTGTGGGGGGGGCACGTGTCTGTGTCACTGATGACGTCTGTGCGGGGAGATGTCACTGTGTGCCGCTTGGGTGCATGTCGGGGTCCTGTGCCAGCACCTGTGAAGCCTTCGGGGTCAATGATGATCCACTCCACGGGGAAGGCGCGCCCGTCCTCCTCCTCCTGCTTCAGGCTCAGGGTGATCTCCTTGGCCGTGTATTTCAGGGAACTGGTTGGGGGTGGGGTGGGGGTGAGAGCCCCGTGGGCACTGCCAGCGGGGGCTCCCCTCCGCCCTCTCCCCGCGCGGTCCGGGAGGTCTGCGCACCTGAACTTGAGGGAGCAGTTCTGCCAGTCGAAGGGAAAGTAGGTGACGGAGATGGGGCAGGAGGAGCGGAAGATAGCGGGCGGCAGCCAGTACACGTAGCCCGAGGAGTAGATGAGCACGTTGCACGAGTAGGAGATCTGGAAGGAGCCGTCGTTGCTGGCGGACGGGTGGACAGGGGCCTCGGTGAGTCCCAGCGGGGAGGGGGCGTGGCAGGCGAGGGGCGGGGCGGGCAGGCTGAGGCGTGGCAGGTGAGGGGTGTGGCAAGCGAGGGGCGGGGCAGGCAAAGAGGGGCGGGGCGGGCAGGGAGGGGGCGGGGCAGGCAAGGGGCGGAGCGTAACAGGCGAGGGGCGGGGCGAGCAAAGAGGGGCGTGGCAGGCAAGGGGTGGGGCGGGCAAGGCTGGGGTGTGGCAGGCAAGGGGCAGAGCGTGGCAGGCAAGGGGCGGAGCGTGGCAGGGAGGGGCGGGGCAGGCGAGGGGCGGGGAAGACAAGGAGGGGGCGTGGCAGGCGAGGGGCGTGGCAGGCGAGGGGTGGGGCGGGCAAGGCTGGGGTGTGGCAGGCAAGGGGCAGAGCGTGGCAGGCAAGGGGCGGAGCGTGGCAGGGAGGGGCGGGGCAGGCGAGGGGCGGGGCAGGCAAGGAGGGGGCGTGGCAGGCGAGGGGCGTGGCAGGCGAGGGGTGGGGCGGGCAAGGCTGGACGTGGCAGGCGAGGGGCGGAGCGAGGCAGGCGAGGGGCGGAGCGTGGCAGGCGAGGGGCGTGGCAGGCGAGGGGCGTGGCAGGCGAGGGGCGGGGCAGGCGAGGGGCGGGGCAGGCGAGGGGCGGGATGGGCAAGGGGAGGGGCGGGATGGGCAAGGCGAGGGGCGTGCAGGGCAGGGCTGGGGGGCGGGGAGTGGGTGCTAACTTGTTCTCCAGCACGATCTCTGGGAGCCACAGCATGTCCGGGGGCAGCCGCAGGACGCTGACGTTCTCGAAGTCCGTCTCGTTCCACTGTAACCGGCTGTCTGTCCAGCCCTGGGAGTCCCCAACATGTCAGCAGTGGGCTCTACCGCCCAGGGACCCCCAGCTCCCCAGGAGAAGGGCAGACAGGGTCTGGGAAGAAGCGGGAAGGTGGGTACCAAGTGAAGACCCGGGGCGTCGTGTACCATGTGTGGGTCACATTCTGCTCAAACAAAGGATTGATGGCGGAGAAGACATATCTGGGCTCTATTTTTTTTTTCTTTTTGGGCCACAATCAGCAATGCACAGGGGTTACTCCTGGCTCTGCGCTCAGGAATTACTCCCGGCAGTGCTCAGGGGACCCCATGGGATGCCGGGAATCAAACCTGGGTCGGCTACGTGCAAAGCAAACGCCCTACCCGCTGTGCTGTCGCTCCAGCCCTCATATCTGAGTTCTTAATGGGGGTACCAGGGATTGAACTGGAGTGGGCTGCATGGAAGGCAAGTGCCTTAATCCTGGACTCTCTCTCGGGCCCCTCTGTATCATGAACTCTTGATAGGTGCTGAAGAAAGTCTTCTGAGAAAGCTGGACACGGCAGGTTTTGTATCCCAGGCTATAGCGCGTGGCGGACTGCAGGTCAGGAAGGACCAATGGGCCTGAGGACTCTCTGCAAACCCCGCTCCCGGGCAGGCTGGGGGTCCCCAAGCAGACACCACAGGACAGCTCACCCCAACCTCCGGGCCCATCTGGGCTGTTCTTACGTGCTCGATCCACACATTGGTGGTGAGGGTCTCCTCGACTTCCTTCTGCAATCACACAGGGGGATCCAGGTTCCATCCCCAGCACCTGGGCTGCCAGGTGGCCCCCAAACCTCACCAGAACCACAAACCAGCAGCAGGATGGGGGTCCCGGGGTCTCTGCGCACAGTCCTCTCCCCAGGGCCCCCACGGGGGTGACCTGCCCCAGAGGCCATGGCAGGAGGTGGGCAGAGAGCGCCGATGCCTCTTCCTGGTGCAGGGCCCAGGCATGTTTCTGGGGAGATACGTCCCCACAGACCAGTGGGCGCCTGCCCCCACCCACAGCTGCCCCTGTGCTCACCAGGGAGATGAGGTTGGAGAGCGTGAGAGCCAGCGACACCTCCACGCTGTCCTCCTTGCGTGCGGCGGGCCGGACCTCCTTGTTGTAGGCCTTCTCCTCGAACAGATGCCGGAGTAGCCGCTCCTCTGCGTTCATGGCCCAGCTGCCTGCGGGGGACGTGCGGGGGACGGGGCTGGACTGGGGGGGCCCAGGCGGGAAGCTTCTGGGGGCCAGTGGACTCGGCAATAGGGAGCCAGGGCCCCGGGGTGGATGTCAGCTAGAAGTTGGGGCCCGGAGCGGACTCCTCGGGTCCTTACCACACGCGACCGTGACAGCCAGGAGCCCCAGCCTGAACACAGACGCCGCCATCCTGTGCTGCCGCTCGCTGGACAGTGAGTCTCCCCTCACCCCAGTGTGCCAGGCGGGGAATGTGGGGGGATGGGAGTGGACAGGTGCATGGCCAGGCAGAGGAAGAGATGGCCGGAAACGCAACCCGATACCCCCAGGCCTGCAGGACAAAGATGTGGGGTGTGGGGGAGGGGGTTTGGCCCAGCCAGCCAGGAGCCCAGGGGCTAGCGGCCAGATCCCAGGAGGGGCAGCGCTGGCCCATCCCGGGCTGGGCAGCAGCTGACCTTTGGGAGGAAGTGGACAGGAAATCTCAGCTGGCCCCGCCCCAGGGTCTCTGGCCTCTGCCCCAGAGTCCTGCCCCCCTCCCAGACCCAGAAATCTCAGAGCCAGCATCACTGGACGGCTACATGCAAAAAAATGGGCTCAGAACTCTGCCTAACACCATGTACAAAAGTAAGATCAAAATGGATTAAAGACCTCAACATCAGACCAGAAACCATAAGGTACATTGAAGACAAAGTTGGCAAAACCCTCCATGACATTGAAGCTAATGGTATCTTCAAAGATGCCACACCACTGGCCGAGCAAGTGAAAACAGAGATAGATAAATGGGACTATCTTAAACTAAGAAGCTTCTGCACCTCCAAAGAAACAGTGACCAAAATACAAAGATAGTCTACAGAATGGGAAAGGATATTCACCGAATACACATCTGACAAGGGGTTGATATCCAGGATATACAAAATACTGGTTAAACTCCACAAGAAGAAAACATCCAACCCCATCCAAAAATGGGGCAATGAAATGAACAGAAACTTTCTCAAAGAAGAAATCCGAATGGCAAAAAAGCACATGAGAAAAATGCTCTACATCATTAATCATCAGGGAGATGCAGATCAAAACCACAATGAGATACCATCTCACACCTCAGAGACTGGCCCACATTCAAAAGAACAAAAGCAACCGATGCTGGCGCGGATGTGGCGAGAAAGGGACACTCCTTCACTGTTGGTGGGAATGTCGACTGGTTCAGCCCTTCTGGAAAACAGTATGGACGATTCTCAAAAAATTAGAAATTGAGCTCCCATTTGACCCAGCAATACCACTCCTGGGAATATATCCCAGAGAGGCAAAAATGTATAGTCGAAGTGACATCTGCACTTGTTTGTTCATTGCAGCACTCTTTACAGTAGCCAGAAACTGGAAGAAACCTGAATGCCCACGAACAGATGACTGATTAAAGAAACTTTGGTACATCTACACAATGGAGTACTATGTAGCTGTTAGAAAAGATGAAGTCATGAAATTTACATACAAGTGGTACAATATGGAAAGTATCATGCTAAGCGAAATGAGTCAGAAAGAGAGGGATAGACATAGAAAGATTGCATTCATCTGGGGGATATAAAGTAACAAAATATGAGATTAATACCCAAGAATAGCTGAGATCAGCACCAGGAGGATTACTCCATAGCTTAGTGGCCAGCCGGGTATTCTAGGGGAAAGGGCAGTTCAGATAGAGAAGGGAGCACCAAATAAAGGGTGTTTGGAGGATCCTCCCAGGAGGGGAGATGCATGTCAAAAGTAGACTGTGGACTGAACATGTTTGCCACTCAATGCCTCTTTTGCAGACCACAACACCCAAAAGGAGAGAGAGAACACAGGGGATTGCCCTGCCACAGAGGCAGGGGGGAATGGGGGGATGGGGGTGGGGGTGATATTATCCATGGTGGTGGAAAATTGGCACTGGTGGAGGGACGGGTATCTGATCATTGTAAAATCGAAACCCAAGCACAAAAAATTGTAAATCTACAACTGTACCTCATGGTGTTTCACTAATAAAAAAAAAGGAAAAAAAAAGAAATCTCAGAGCCAGCAGCCTCTAGTGCATAAATAACATTTATTAAAGGGCTTTCTGGTGGCCAATCTGGGTATCGCCGTAGCCGTGACGCTCCGGACGCCCACGCCACCCAGCTGTGGTGGGGACCGCAGTGATCATCAGGCTGCCCACCCTGCGCAGCCCCCACCAGAGGCCAGCTCTGCCCCCTCACACCCGTCTCGCCCCCCCCAGGCTCTGCACCCACCGGTAGCCCCCACGGAGCAAACACCCGCGTGCCCGGACCAGCGCCACCGAGTGTGCGCCCCGCCCCCAAGCCCATCAGCATCCTGGAGCGCGCATGGGCAGAGACCTGCAGAGGGAGGCCGGGGACCAGGGGCGCATCCCCCTCTTGGCCACGCTGGTCAGCCCTCCCTTCCCTCCCCTGCCTAACCTGCATGTGACGCCCCCTGGACGCCCCCTCCAACCCCTTCCACGCCTTCCGTCCTCCCATGGATCCCCCTCCTACTCCCAGGGCCCCGGGTGGGTGTGGGGGAGGGCGTGGCCTGCCTCTTGGAAGTCCAGGGCCAGGAGCTGGGGGCCGGACAACAGCTGCAGGGTCCAGGCGTGCTTGTCCCACAGGGCGGCCAGTCTGGGCCACAGGGAGCCCAGGTGGGGCCGCCTATGGAACGGGGAGAGGCCTGGGCATCAGTGTGGGACGGGGGCACCCCTGGACTCTCCAAGGGCTCCCCACGGGCTGCAGGGGCGCAAAGTGACCCCACCCAGCCAACACTCATGCCCGGGCCGAGCAGCGGGGCCAGCAGGGTGGACGCCAGCGAGCGCAGGCCTCCGATTGGCCGTCACATGGGGGCCCATCCCGAGGACCAACTGACCACTCAGCTCTTCCACGCACTCCCAGGCCAGAAGCTCCCTGCAGCTGGGCTCCTTGCCGGCAGGGGGCGCTGAGAGAGCGGGGGCAGCTGATCCCAGTGCCCGGCTGGGGCCCCCCACCCGAGTCACCCTTCCCTGGGGAGCCTTGCCCACGCCACACCAGCAGGGGGAGCTGCAGGAGGAATCCCAGAATGAACGCTCCTGCAGCCAGTCCTTGGACATGGCCACAAGGGTGCAGACCCCGCTTCCCTGGCTGTCCACACCTGTCCCCCCCTGGGAGGTGCCCCAGCAGGTCAGGGGGGCTCTGGAGTCACCCTGCATGGAGGAGGGGGAGGACCCCACACTGAGCCAGCTGCTCAGAGGCCTCAGAAGCAAAGGGGTCCCCTGCCCAGCACCCACAGCACCTTCCTAGCGTGGCGCATGTGCCCGGCAGAGTCCATGCCCCCTCCAGGCAGCCTGCAGGGCATGGTGGAGCCGGGCCAGGCCCTTTGATAGGTGTCGGGCTGGACAGGTGTACCCGCACCTCCCCCACTGTCTCAGCCTGGGGTCCCCTACAGAGCAACAGTGAAGGTCGGGTCATTCCTGGGGGCTGGCGGTCCCTCTGAGCCCCTCGATTCCTCCTTTGGGAGACCAGCAGCATTTTGCTTTGCAGTTGACTCCCGTCTCTGCCCTCTCCAGATCCCCCATGCACAAACCGCTCACACCCAGTCTGCACCCGCTTTCAGGTACCTTTGAAGAGAGCCCCCCAGCCGGCGGGGCCTCTGGGGACCCTGGAGCAGGCAGACGGGGTGCTCGGTCCCCGAGGAGTGTCCACAGCTGCACCCGGGTCATAGTGGAAGGTCGGTGGGCCCAGCTGGGGAGTTGACCAGGACTGGCGTCCAGTGGAAGCCTGGGGACTGCCTACTAATCTTGGGGTACAGCTCCCCCGGGGTCTCTCGGCGGCCAGTGTCATGGTCCAGAGAAGCTCATTCAGGGCACAGTTGAACGGGGTGCCATGAACAGTCCTGGAAATCCTCCCCGCTCCAGCTGTTTCTCTGCCTGGTGGGGCAAGGGGCAGAGATCTGACCTTGGAGTGTGGAGGAAAACGGGGAGCAATGTGCCCCACGATTAGCGCTGGGACCAGGAAGGTGGCAGCCACTGTCACTGTCACTGTCCTTCCGTTGTTCATTGATTTCCTCGAGCAGGCACCAGTAACGTCTCCTTCGTCCTAGCCCTGAGGTTTTAGCAAATGCCACTCTTTCAGGGTCAGGGGAATGAGACCCCTCATTGTCACTGGGTTTGGGGGTATCGAATACGCCACGGGAGCTTGCTAGACTCTGCCGTGCAGGCAGGATATTCTCGGTAGCCTGCCGGGTTCTCCAAGAGTGAGAACTAGATAATAAGAGGTCACACGGCCGCAAATGCAACCACGCGCTTCCAGAAGCTTGGTTTTATAGTTTCTGGGTCTTGGCTGTTGATGGGACTACACGGTGCCGGGGGGCAGTTGGTGGGTGTAATGCCTACATACTGGAAGAAGGGGGATCTGGGTGGAGGAGGCCCAGTCCTGATCCGAGCAGGCTTGGAGATCTCAGCCCGAGGCCCCGCCCACACCAGGGTTGCTCTGCCATTTCCTTCATGCCCGCGTGAGCCACTAGGGGGCAGTAAACACCGACTGCGCACGTGTTGGGGGACTAGGGAGGGCGGCTGCCGCCAGGGGGCAGCAGAGACCGCTATCGGGTCCCGACGGCGGCTGCCGCTAGGGGGCAGCAGAGGCCTGCCGTTGCGCAGGTGTCTGGACCCGGGAGGCGCTGAACCCCACCTTGGGGCTTGGGACCGAGGGGGCAGCAGCGCGTACCCCGAGATGTAGTGAGCCGCCGTGAGCAGCCAGGATGCTGCCAGCAGGACCCCGACGACGGGCCCCTGGATCCGCGTGCCCAGAGCCGGGGCACCTCTTGCACGTCCGGGGGGGGGGGGGACACTTTCCGACCCTCCAATCCGGGGCCCCCCGCTGTGCCCCCAGGGTTCTGTCGCTTGGAACCTTTTCCACCTCATC